CTACTGTTCTGGGGTAAAATGGATTTTCTTTGTTTCTTAGAAGATTCTTTACTATTCTTTCTCTCAGGACCTAGAGAATTAAAGAACAATGCTGTTATGCGATGGGACCTGAGTATGAGAAGCCTGGACTGGATTCACTTTTCTAGAACTGGCCTGCTGTCCTCCAGCAAGACAAAATTTAAAAATGGTACATAGCTGTCACTATGACTTGGAAATAAAAATTTCCAAAGTCTGTCCAATTTTAAACTGCAAACTGATATGTTGCCTGAGGTGTTTTGTTTTGTTTTTTTTAATGTTGCCTGCGTGCTCCTGAACTGCCTCTTGTTTTCAGTGCTCTATCAAATTACTGAGCTGTCTGCTGAGATTAAGCAAGGTGATAATTGTATGTAAATCATAAACACATTTCAGTTTAAAGTTTTGACTCTTTGTTTTTTTAGAAATAATATTAAATGAAGGGCTTAATATAAGTTTGCTTGGTGGGTTATAAATTTGAGCTAAATATATCTAAATTAGATAAGTTCAATCTAATAAGTTAAATGGTCATCAAGCATCCTGAATGAGTAAGATAACTGAGCATCCACTGGCAAAAAAACAAAACAACAACAACAAAAAACTAAATATGACATAGTCTCGGGTCTCAAGGAACTTATAATTAAGAAAGATATGAGTAAATATTTAGCAAACAAGTGAAAAGGTATGTGCTGATTGCTATATACTTGAAGAGTCCTTTTAAGAATATTCCAAATAATTTCTCTGATGGTTTTATGCATGATAAAGCAAAACTAGAAACCCAACTTAATTATCTAAACCAGCTTGTTTAGATAAGTACATCACGTGAAATTGCTACTTTATTGAATGACAATTATTATAGCTGCAAAATCCAATAAAATAATATGTATGGCTATTGGTACAATTAACTATTTTCCCTTTTACAGTATCAATATCACTTCAAATACTTAAGTGTTTACTACATTCAGGGCACCATGCCGTGGGCTATGAAGAATGAAAAGAGACTTTAAATCACACAGTCTATCTTCAAGGAACTTTTAGTTTCCTTAGCTAGATAAGTTCTCTTTATATAACATACAAGAATTAGAGAATTCCAGAGGAAGATCTAACTTGCAGCTTAGAGTTGTCAAGAATGGCACAGGGAGATTAAAGGATTGGCAGAATTTTGATGTGGGTGGGGGTTTGGACATTTCAGAGGAGAGAATGGCAAGAATTCAGGGGCAGAGGCAAAAGGGGCACAGAGCAATTTTAGTATAAAGTAATGCTTTAGTTATGTTAAAATAAGGGGTTCTTTCCTGCAGTCATGGGATAAGGGCAGAATGACATGCTGAGGCCATGTTAGAAAAGCTTTGAATACATGCTATGGAGTTTGTACTTTATCCTATAAGCACGAGAATTTCATGAAAAGCTTTTGAGCAACCCAGTGGTGTTATCAAAGCACCCATTTAATAAGATGATTCTTGGAGTGAAGCACACACTGTCTTAAAGGGAGAAGAGCCTGAAGGCAGAAGGCTCAGGTAAAACATTATGGCATTAGTCTGGTGTGAGTTGGTAAGGACCAGAGAATCAGGTGGGAGTTAGGAACGAAGGACAGACTAAATCTGTATGTGCTTTTTAATTTGTTAAAATGGAACATATAGCATATTGCTACAAATGAATAATATAGTAAAAATTCCACAGCTAAATTTATTGATAATCTTCATTGTCGACGAACATTCATGGAATGACTATTAAAGTGCCCTATAAAAGCCAGCTATGTGAACTTTTTATCCGAATGATGAGTATAACACAGTTTTACTTATGTTCCCTACATAATTTTCCAAGTAAGACATTCCATTGGGAGTTTAGTGCTAGGAAATGTTGGTGTACTTTTGAGGAACAAGTATATTTTCTTCTTCATAAGGAAGACCTAGGAAGCGCAGGCAATCTTCCCTGAGTGCCTGTAGGTCTCAAACCAGGATTTCAGTTTAACCACTGCAGCTGTGTTGACTTTACCATAATCTCTGTTTTCTCCTTTGTTGTTAACTCTCTCCCCTTTTATTCCTCATTAATCTTACTGAGTTGGTTTCTTCTTTCCCCTCTGTAAGCAGCTCCAAGTGATTTTTCAAAGAGACAAAGGATAAGTACATTAACATGTGCCAACAGCACTCCCTCCCACCTGAAGCTTCAGTTTCTTCTTGAGCTTCAGCATGGCATTTCTGCATCTTGCTTCTATTCTGCCTGGCCTACAAACAGATGGCCCAACTAGCATCTCTTACATCCCGCCTCTCACCTTACTCAAATGTGGTCTTTGAACCAACAGTGGCGGCATCACCTGGGGATTTCCCAGAAATGAAAATTCTCAGGCCTCACCGCGGAGTATTACAACAGAAACTCTGAAGGTGGGGCCCAGCAGTGTGTGTTTTAACAAGGCTTCCAGGTGATTCTGACACATGCTGAAGTTTGAGAACCACTCCTCTAGAGAATGTCTATACTCATGTCTTTCTCTCCCAGTGTATGTGTTCTCTAGCTCATGGTGTCTCTAATCTACTCTGTATGTTTGCTGTTGTCCTGGAAAATCCTTTATATACTTTTTAGAATAACTATAAATTCTTAAAGAAGCTTATCTAATTGGTGTAGTTAATTATTACCCCCCACCACAGTCAGTAAAGCATTTCTGGGTACCCTACCTCATGGTCATTGTCTGGTCCATATTTGAGCCACTCTTGGCATACCACAGAATACTGGGTCTTGTCAGTGTCCAGTTCTACTAAAAAACAGACTAGCATTGCTTTTGAGATTAAAGGTCCTATTATAAGTGACATGGACAAGGACCCAATTCATAAGCTATACAGATGCCATCCAATCTGTATAGAAACAATACAATGTTTGCATTAGTTTGTAATCACAAGGGGAAAAAAATGCAGCACTCAGTTCCTACTGGAGCTTTTTACTTACTTGAAGAGTCAAGGTTAAGATAAATGAAGCAATAGATAGGTAAGCGCTAAATTATGTTATTCTTGACGTACTTCTCTGTGTACATGCTTGGAAAGGTCATCTCTCATGACTTTATCTAATAACTATGTAGGTCAGTGTTTCTCAGTCTTGAGTAATGTAATAATAGCATGCTGTAAAATTTTCTCCATTTTCTCAATATGGAATGAAAGAATTTGAATTATTATTTTACGAAAACGTGTATCAATCTAAAAACAGGCACAAACCACTTAACATTATAATACTTAAACAATTATAAAAACAAATCTATAAATTAAAGAAAATCTACACAGCCAATAGAATTTAAATTAATTTAATGGCATGGATATTATATTAAAGCATAATCACCACTAAATGCCTGAGCATGGTTCTGCCTGCTAAGATGCAGCTTCCTTTGTTTTTAATAGGCTTTTCTTACCATGCAAGACACAATGACTCAGCTCTCACTGCTTCTTTATTCAAACTACTGTGAAACTATTCTTTATATACTTCCTGTGGGGTTTTTTTTTCTGCCTGTAATTTGTAGAAACATATCGTGTATGTATTAACTGCTTGTGATATTATCTCACTATTTGGCAACAATTAATATAATTCTGTGGATTGTCAACCTGACTGAAATACAAATGAAAAAGTGAGAAATAAAATCTTGGGTGATGCTTGATATAAGGTAGCCACCCATATAGTCCTAAATTTTCTTGTTCCTTTTAAAAGATTGTCACAGATATGAAGACATCAAATTCTCATTAAGATATGAGAAATCCTCATTAAAAACTGAAGTCAGTGGTGGTGGACACACCTGTGCCTCCCAGAACCCCTACAAGGAAACACCTGGTGCCTCAGCTGCTAGCAAACGGCCTCCAGCTCTCAGTTCCTTTATGGTTTGCTCAGCTGCAAAAGAGCTGCCTAGCACGAGGGTGTGTCCTTTCGCAGGAGCCCACCTTCGATGACTGATGAAGGCAGTGGTGATAAAACCTGGATACTTCTCCTGAAGAGGGTCAACTCTCATGGGCTGCATTTGGTCTAGACTCTTTGTGGATTTGACTGAGGCCACTGGCCTGCACTGAAGTTCCACTCTGCTCTCCCAATCATGTTTTCCTCTTCTCTTCCATTAGTGATGATTCCTAAAAATATCCTGCATACCAAACTCCATCTTTGTGTCTGCTTCTGGAGAATACAGTCAACAAGAGCTACCAAGAATCTCTCTAAGGACCACTCCCCTGACCCAACGCCCAAGGGGAGAGAATGCCTCTTATTCTTATTGTAACATAGTCCGATTATATATTCCTGCCAGCACTTCAAAGTCAACAAGAAGCTGATGCAAAATGATCTCTTGGGTTTCTGACTCAGAACAACTTGTGGGTTCTCCCTTCCATTTTATAATTTATTTAATGGCATAACCATGGTATTCCTACAGGATAACAAGCTGGGAGGCAATTTTGATTCTGCACACATCTTGCTCTATACAACCAGTCTATTATTTATGTTCTTAACATGGGAAGGACTTTACTCATTTCTCCAGGGACCCACTTTCTTCAAAATAAGGGGTGCTGCTGAAATTATAATGGAGAGATTCACTTTGCTTTTAGAACATTTACTTTCTTTAAGAGTTTCCCTTTCCTTCCCTTCGATTCCATAGAATCTAAAAGACAAAAATTTGGTTTTGTATTTTTTTTTCCCCCCAAAGGACACATATACAAAATTCCAACTCACAATCTTGTACCTACCCAGGAGAATAATATGTTGGCTCACATAGTAAATAAAAGAATAACACTTTGAGAGGATGGCAGCAAATGCCTAAGGCTTCACTTTTCCTTCTACAATTAAGATTGCTGCAATGCAGTCATTAAAACAAAACATATATATTATTAATGCAGTCATTAAAACAAAACATATATATTATTAATGCAGTCATTAAAACAAAACATTAAAACAAAACATTATTTATTTGCTCAGTTTAAGATAAAACACATTGAATTTTCTTTCCCTCTTTATCTTTTATATTGAACTACAGAGTAAAGAAAGCCAAATCTTAATAAATGCCAAAGTCATAATTTCATAATATAGAGACTAAAACATGTGAATGTTATTTTGCAGTTTAGAAGTCTATGACAGCATACATATTTTTAAAAGCAGTCAACTCATTGAAAGACACTGGTGTTTAAAAGTGAAAGTTGAGTTGTCAGTTGAAAATCAGAAACTGAGGTGTTTGTGAAAGACAAATTGTCAGGAAAGCAGTAGAACATTTCCTGCCCGTGGGTGCAGTCTTGAGGATTTGTCACGGCCATGACGAACCCAACGACCATCACAACAGCACCAATGGGAAGCATGACACAGGACATAATCTTATCTGAGTGTGTCCTTGGTTCTTCAGACAGTTTCAGATAACATGCTGATGGAATGATAAAAATTAGGGGAGCTGCACAGAGTGCACCCTGCATATTGAAAATGAGAAACAAGATAATGTTATCGAATGGAGCATTCCTTGGACAGTTTTTAAAAACATTCACAAAATGTATTTGTCATTGCACATGTTAAAAGTTGGATAGATTTGGTTAACTCAAACAAAGGAAAGAAAAATAATTCCAAAAAACCTTAGAAATAGGTTTTTCCTTTTCTGATGGTTTATTTACAAATGAGACGAGTAAAATAACATACGAGTAAAAGAATAGAGTAAAATAAAATAATATACTAGACTAGAAAACATTGATCTTTCAGCCAAGATCAAGGGTAGAAAAAAAAAAAGATGGTAAGACTGACTTCTGACAAATTCTTAAAATGTCCCATATTTTCAGTTATGTCATATTACATTATACTCTTCATTTCATATTACTGTGTATCTACTTTGCCGTTGAAACCAGAGAGGTTTATTTGTTGTATAGAAGAGGGAATTATTAGGCATATTCTTCCCTCTTTACTTGAGTTCGTACCTGTCTGTTGTATGAGAAAGGAAAACTATAACCTTAAGGGCACTCAACATAAAATAGCATTTCTACATCATCTTTCAAGTAAGACTAAACACATTAATTACCCTAGAAAACTGACAGCAGAACTAAATGATTATGACTCATTCACCCTTCCCCACAATAGCTTTTGGATAAGTCCAACCTGAGGGGGAATGTCAGATTGAAAATTATGGGGAGTAGTGTTGTCTATTATAAAAATACCAAGAGTTACTGACTTTAAGGCAAAAGAAACTTTCCCTTTAAGGAGGTCAAATTTGCACTAGAAACTTGGTAAACAAAATAATGTCAAAATTTAATGTATTTTAGGTAATATATTTTTCTAATTATATTAAATGTAAATTATATTATATATTAAACTATAACACATATTAATAAAATATATTAAATACAATTATATGACAAACAATAGTCTCTTCAGCCATAAAATATGTTTTTTTATATAACATATACTCAATAGCAAATATGATATTGGTTTAGCATTAAAAGCAAGCTTTCCAAAAATTAACATGTTTTGCTATATTTGAAAAAGATATTATGGAAATTTGTATATATATATGTACATGTATATATGTATATATGTAGACATATGTACATATATATACATATATACATATATATGTATATACATGTAGAAAGAAGAGTATAATGAAATCCAACACACGTATCACCAATGGTTTGAAAGCTTTTTGATACATTATTTTGGTAATTTGAAATTTGAAATTTTTTTTCAAAAACATTTGAAAGCTTTTTGATGCAAACTTTGGTAATTTGCTAAAATCATAGAAAACTTATTTTGTAGTTGAATAGTGTAAAATAATATATTATACCTCAAAAATAGTTTTAAAAGAAATATTTTCTTGATATCACCACTTACTAAAATCACTGTTTTATACTAAGTACCATCCTCATACTGGAAATATTACTATGTTCCAAAACTATAATTTATTTATTTATTTTTTACAAAAATGGCAAATGTTCAGAGAAACTGCAGAGAAAAGGGAGAGACATAAAATCAGAGTAGGCAGACAGTATCTAAATATCTGGGGAAGAATAGGAGGGACTACATTTCACAGAAAATATTTCTACAGTCAGAGATATAAGAATGAGAAAATACTAAGAGGTATCAAATTATATTCTAATTTAAAATATATGGACAATGTAATTTTGCCACTCATAGCACCTGAATACAAATGAATATCTGCAAAGGTACACAGTGTATAAAGGATTAGTTTTCATATGGCTAAAATTAAATGAATTATGGATTCCTTGGGCTCTATCATGACACCTGAAACTGACAGTTTTTTTAAGAATGAGAAATCCTGCAGAACTCAGTCTGTGTTTATAACAATTATTACTCTCTGTTTTCTTAGAAATAATTTTTGAAAACAATAAAAAAGTAAAACAAATATACACATATGTATGTATATGTGTATAAAGTTTTTTTATAGGAACAAATTATAATTTATCTGGAATTGTGGAGGGTAAAAGTGCTATCAGGATGAAAACTGCCACCAGCTGCTGCTAAGAAGCTGTCATCAGTCAGTATTTTGGGACTCTTCCAAACCTAACTTGGTGGGCAGTGCAAAGCAATGGGTGTTTTGTTTATACTATAATTTTTAAGAGTTGAGAAAGTAGCAATTAGTGTGAAAGCCATATAGCTGATGTTTGTACTGGAAGAAGTCCAGCTGGGTTTCTTGTCTAGATAGCAGTTACTTTCTTAATATTTCAAAGTTTAGTCTTGCTAGAGGTTGTTGTTAGGACCCAAGATCAAGTGTAAAATGATAGAGCAGTTCCATCTGCTGAATTCCTTATAAAGGAATCCAGTTTATTTGATCTATTTAATATAGCATTGCATGAGCATATACCACTGGCTTTGGAATAATTTTTGAAATTGCTTGATAGGACATAAGTACCATAACTGTTTATTAAAGAGACAATAAAATATAGCCTTATTTATAAAGACAGGACAGCACTGTCCTTTGATAATAACACTACTGATGCCTGGGTATTTTGCAGTTTGCTGTAG